TGTATTGTTACACCAACATATAAAAGGAATAAGCGAACTAAGCAAACTAAGGTCTGTAAACAAATATTACAATAATAAATCGTTATGTTACTTCTGACGATATTTTACTCTTCTTTCTGAACAGCGACCGATGAGACGATGACTGTCGTATTGATGCCTCCGCGAAAATCTAGGAAGTTGATTTTGAGCAAACAACCAAGAATTGATCGTTCAATCTTCAACTCCATTGACATTTGTACTTATCTCCATGTAAGACAACCCAGAGTGAGTCAGGTACATTATTCATTATTTCATCTTCCACCTTAATGACTACAAATGAGCTATGTATATATATATGAGACATCCTCCACCACGCCTGCAGTCTCTGTTTACACGGTGTACAGTGTAATCATCGATACCTATATGCACATCAAGTACAGAGGATGAGCACCATGACTCAGTAATCAGAGCTACAGTAGGCCTGGCGACTAATAATAATGTCCTTAGTTCAGATATCTTATTGGTCAAGGAACGTGCATTAATTAGCAATATTGTGAATAAGTCACGGGATACTACAAACTGGCTTAAAATGTCACCATAATCTAAACGTATTTGTGTGTCAGCACCGCAAGAGTTTATGAATGATAGCGAGGTCAGACTGGGTGTCTGTACATGGAGTTTGGTGTGCAATGTGTTGGTCCTAGGTGCCATGGGTCGTACCAGTTATTCGGGACACCTGGAAAATTTACCACGTGTTCCTGGATATAAGGGTAGTAGGGGTTGGGCCTAGGTTGACGTTTAAAAACATAGCATCAAAATGTCTATCCATCCATCTGCTATTCGTCATACTGGTGCACACCTTCGTGTTGTTAATGCGAAGACAATATTCCTACATTTCATATTGTGCTCCATTGAATGACTAGTTATATTGTAGAATAACTTCAAGCTTTATTTTTTCCCAAGTATATTTAATCCATCCAAAACTTACTTGGGTTTTTTTGTTAATGCGAAGTCAATATTCTTATATTGAATGACTGGTTATGATATTGTTCCCACAAACCAACGACAAAAACGTCACAAACCATGTAATTTAACCATAAACCAAATTTATGAAATTTAAATAATGCTTATCCATGCCTGTACATTTGATGTGTCCTACACAGGTAGGAAAAATGCGTATTTTATTAAAACATTATTATTAATTATGATTGCTAATCGTATATGTAATTTATCAGATTGATGATGCCTGTAAACTGGCGTCCCTCATGTACAAAATGAGAATATACTATTATTATTATAACTTAAAGGGGATTATGAGGGAAGGTGCTCTGGCTAAAAGACATCTACGTTTGTTTACGATTGCCTTCATTTTCATGTCAAAGGTCTTTTGCGCCATGAAATGATTTGATTACACATCTTCTCTTTTCCATCTTTTGTTCAAAGGGTTGCCCCTTTACTTGATCGCTGTCAAATTGGGATAAAGTACATCTGATTTTTGCTTAGTGTATTGGGCGGAACTTATGTCTTGTTCAATGTCCTCTTGTGAAACCTATCACCAAACTATTACAGACTCAGCAGACAGACCTCAAAGAGTTCTCGATTGACATTCATTTCACCGAGGAAACATCTCTCAAACTATGATAAATTTTCACTCTGCACTATCTGACCCTTATTTATTTTGAGTATATTTGTCAGTGCCAAATGTAGTGTGTGCATTCAGTGATTATATACTTACTTTTTCATTCATTGAAACAAGGCGCAATAAATGACAGCCTTCCAGAAGTCTATCATTTCTCCCCCATATTGCATTCAATAATTAATTTATGCCTAATTTGTGCTTATTTCAGTAGTTATAGGAATTATTACTGAATAGGTTTTGTTGGCTCCCATGGAATTACTCCATTCGGTTTTCTTAAGGCCTGCTAGTAAACTATAGAAGGCTATTTGAACCTTTCCTGTACTCCTCACTGTAAAGCGACAACGATCTCCACATGGATTTTATCGAAGGACTATATTTCATTCCTTAAATTTTTTACAAAAATCAGTGAACCATAGTTACTCTATAGCTAATGGTGGATATCTGTAGGTGATCAAGGGCGTAAGTGTAAACGTTTATTCTTATGCGCTATTTCATGAAGCACTTTGCATATTATGAAACTGTACAAAAAACATCGATGTAGGAATTACATATTCCGTAATATATATATATATATGTATATATAGGGAGAAAGAGAGATAGTTTTCCGTCTTCCATCTTGGAGCCTTCAGGGGTTCTCTTATTCATATTTTGAATGGACAATTAAATGGTACAACAAATGTCAATATTTTTGAGCGAACACTTTCAGGGAAATGCATAATCAATGAAACTAAACCGAAAATAGCGTCTTCAACCGTGAAATTTCAATATTTTATTCCTTCTTCACATTATGTTGGAAACGATTGTATTTTTAACATCTTAAGAGACACTTTGTTGTCGTGAACGTAGGTGGTGTGGAACTTATTTTGAATAATGGTCTTAGGTATACAATTTCTATATTTTAGAGGTGAGTTAAGATCACGTGAACTATAAAGTATCTTAATTTAACACTCATCGGCCACATACTCCAATTTCTGGAATAAATGTCAATTTGAGGTAGTTAGCACAATAAAACAAGTTTATTCACTTACTGAATGAGAATATGATCGCAGCCGAACAGAATACTTTTATAGTACTTTTGAATTCGACTACAGAGTATAATGAAGTGCGCGGAGTTGAAGGTGAGTTTATGGGTGGGTTATTTTGAGGTTAAATAATGAATGCAGTTATTTGAAATTTCCATAAGGATACCCATATATACTTAAATGTTGAAAGAGTGTGTATATAGAGCTTAAACTCATTCTCACATGAGTAAAAGCTAATAAGGTATTGCAGAATGAGTTAATTTAAACAAGGAATTAAGATGATAAATTTCGCTAGATGATATCATTTCGTGGGTCACATACTCCTCAGCTTTATGGCCTTCCGAAGATCCACAAAACTGGAAACCCACCGAGACCCATCTTAGACATGTCAAATTCTCCTTACCATAAAATCGCCAAATGGATTACAGAGGTCCTTACGCCTGTAAGAGACTCATTATCAAATCATTCTGCAAAAAGTTCATTTGATCTTACAGAAATGCTAGACACCTTGAACATCAAGGAAAAGGTTATGTGTTCAATTGACATAGAATCTTTATTCACCAATGTTCCCCTTCATGAAACTGTTGATTTTATTTGCGATTACATCACAAGCAACGGCATAAACTTACCCATTCCCGTCACTTACATCAAAGACATCATCTTAATGTGTACAGAAAATATTAGATTCAATTTCCAAGAAAAGACATATAAACAAATCGATAATGTTGTGATGGGGAGCCCTCTGGGGCCCCTGTTAGCAGATGTATTTATGTCGAAATTAGAGAAACAAATGCAAGGTATGCTTGGAGGATTTATGCTGTATAAACGTTATGTAGATGATACTCTTCAAACCTAGGTTTTGCAGTGGTTCTCTAACTGATGTCAGCTCATGATTAAATCCTCTATGCAGGAAAATAATTGACAACAGGAAGGGCAAAAAGCGACAACATTAATAAAAAAAGCCTTGGCAGTAGTATCACATTCAGATACAGTTAACAAAAATGATGCCAAAATCATAGACTCACTGACTTGAGCCAAGTTGAACATGTAAATCCATCAGTATATACAATTATAGATATTAGTTAGTGTTAGACGGTCTCGAAATGGCAAGCAGATAGTCAAAGTTATTATCGGTCAACAAGATTATATCCACAGATTCAGTGTTCAAAAGGCAAATAATTACAATAATTTCCGAAAAATAATTTCTTGAATCTTTTTGATTGCTAGAGGTAGTTACGTTTTGGGCTGCTATAGTTTAAAGTCACCTGGCAGCCTATGTGATGCAGATTCAGATGACAAGGATAGAAGGCTCTTGTGGCCTGTGTTAATCCTTGCAAAATATGTTTCTGCAGAGATCTAACTTCTTTTTGAAAGCGTTCACCGATGGAGCTTATACTACTGAATCAGGTAAGGAGTTCCAATCGTTGACCACTCCGTGAGAGAATCTAAATTCTGCACGTATTATAAGGAAGGTGTGAGATACCACAAACTATTTTTTGTACTCTTTCCAGAATATGTACCTCCTTTATGAAGCATGGACTCTTCGCCTCTGTGAAGTATTCTAGATGAGGTCTGACATATGTTGCGTAGAGTATTTGGAACATGCCGTCGTCTGATCGTTTGAAAGCTCTTCGAATTGCCCATAGCATTCGAAAGGCTTTAGCTGCGGCTGCATTGCAATTTGCAGTTGTTTTCAAATCATTGCTGACAATGATTCCTAGGTCCTTCTGTTCGTTAACATCAGGTAGTTCTGCGTCCCCTAGGGAGTACGACGTATAAGACTTCTGTCCTAAGTGCATTACCGCGCTTTTTCTAGCATTCATTTCCAAACTCCATAGGCTTCAACACTCAGCTAGTTTATCTAAATTAGTTTGTAGGGCCAACCTATCCTCGTTATTATTTACAGTTTTCCATATCTTAATGTCGTCTGCAAATAACAATGAAGATAAAGAAAGAATCCCTGGTAATTCGTTAACGTATAATAGGAATAGCAAGGGACCTAATACAGTTCCCTGGGGCACTCCACTGGATACTGATTTCTATCCTGATAGTACACCATAACATAGGCTAAAAGCTTCTGATGTGGTTTAAACAACAAAAGCAGAGTTTACTTCACAACGTTAAAAATGCTACTTTCCTTTTTCAAAGCGCGCGCGTATGAATGTAGCTTTTCTCGTGTGAAAATAATCAAGAATTTATTCTGACGGAAAACCTAAGTACAAAAAGAACTGACATATCAATGGTCATCGGTACCGGCGTGCAAATGTTTTGCGCAACCTAAATCAACCAATCACATCATTATCAAAAAAGAAGTGACCTTCAGGGTCGTGGTTGTCACAATAGTGTTTTGGATTTCAGTAAGATGACCCTTTTCCGTCCATAAAAAATGGCTAACTTCGTTAATCTAAATTCGGCGAGAGTAAACTCTGGCCATAAATACAATAGATTTCGATTAATTACTAGTGTCTTTGTGACAAGCTTGTATAAAACATCGTTATTGATCAAGGGTCGATTTTTGAAGGATATGTTGGCTTTGGCTATGATACTTTAACTTCACCCATGTTTTATGTAATTATTTTTCGCTGATCATTTCAATATCGCTATGGTTTAACCTTGCCTTACATTTCACAAAAGCCTTAAAAAGTTTTGGAGTCTTAAGGCGTGCCTCTTTTGTACAGAATCAGATTCACGTTTTATGAGTTTAAGTAACACATGTTCTGACCATCTGAATCGATGTAACTAAACAACCTCGTCAATTGATTTCCCCTCCCACCTACCTAGCAGTTGACTGACACCTAACCTAAAAAAACGCCAACAGGCCGGTTCCTGGGGAATCGGCCAACTAGTTCGTAGGATAACTCCTCAACCGATAGCCAATATCAAGTCAACTACCCCCCAATACGGGGAAGTGGTGAGACTGACTACCAGTTGCCTGTATAGTAATGTGAGAGGGCTAAGAGGCAAAATAGCTGAACTTAGACACCTACAATCACAACTAAACTCCAAAATCATAATACTGACGGAAACCTGGCTAACCCCTACGGTGGCAGACAGCGAAGTCAGTATAAATGATATGGTCCTAGTCAGGCGAGATAGGGACCTGAAAGAAGGAGGTGGAGTCGCCATATACGTCGACAAACAGCTCAGATGTGTTCACGCGACGGACCCTCCCCTCACAGAGCTCCCTGACTCCATATGGTGCCACTTCACCGTTGGGTACTGCAAATATCTAGTGGGCAGCATTTATCGATCACCTTCATGTGGAGCAGACCATAACCAGGTACTGCTAAATACAATTTCAGCGACTCAAGACATGGGTTATGATCAAATTGTCATAGCTGGTGACTTCAATGCCCCATCTCTTAACTTGGTGTCGGGAAAAGCCCATGATAGATTTGATCGAAATCTGCTGCATACCATCAGGAAGGCTGGATTCACCGAAAATGTCAAGATGGATACTAGATGGGGCCCTGATGGGAAGTCTTCTAGACTGGATTACGTGCTCACTAGTGACCAGCTACTAGTGGAAAACGTTCAGATCACGACTCCCATAGGTAGTAGTGACCACGCGGTCATAGTATTCGACATAGTCCTCCGCGAGCGCTTACAGTGGGACAATACACAGCCCTATCTGTGTTATAACAAAGCCAACTTTACCAAAATGCGAAGACTTCTGTCTGAAGCAAACTGGCCTAAAAAATGGACAGAGCTAACAGTAGAAGAACACTGGAGAGTGGTAAAGGAGATCATTCACCAGGCGGTCTCAGACACTGTTCCTTTAGTCTCACCAAAAGCTAGGAAGCAACGATCATGGCTGAAAAGAGGGACACAACGCCTTCTGCAGGCAAAGCGTAAAGCCTGGTTCGCGTGGCGACGATCGAAGAGTCAACCCGAATATGAAGTGTACCTTGAACTCAGGAATCGATGTAACATACGAGTCCGGAGCGATAGAAGGACATTTCAGGGAGACCTCGCCAATAAGCTTCTCGTGAACCCCAAAAGCCTATACAGGTTTATGGCCGAAAGAAAACCGACCAACCAGGGAGCATGCAATCTAGTGGGTTCTGATGGGAAATCTCTTACTAGTCTTGAAATGGCAGAGACATTCAGCCTAGCCTTTCACAGGCAACTAAATAGTAACGAGGATATTACCCCTACAGAACATCCAGATTACATCGCAGAACCAACACACGAAAACCTGCTGGGGACATTTCAAATTACCCCGGCTATGGTACTTGCAAAATTGGGAAGGTTGGCTTCGGGAAAGTCTCCAGGTTGTGATGGCATCAGACCATCTGTCCTGAAGCAGTGTTCAGAAAGTCTCTGTCAACCCCTAAGTGATCTGTTCCAACACTCCCTTGATGTAGGGAAACTTCCATGTGAATGGAAACGTGCAATCCTATCCCCTATCTTCAAGGGTGGTGACCGGCAGAATGTGACCAGTTACAGACCAGTTGCTCTACTTCCAGTGGTATCGAAGATATTGGAAAGTCTCATTGACGACCACATGAGAAAATACTTCGATGGGACTAACCTTCTTCACGAAGCACAGCACGGTTTCAGGAGGGGAAGATCCTGCGTGACGAATCTTCTACTAGCCTGGAACGATTGGACACTATCCTGGGACAAAAAGGTACCAGCCCACGTGATCTTTCTCGACTTTGCGAAAGCATTCGACACAGTTCACCATGGTCTGCTCCTTCACAAAATAGGCAAGGCGGGAGTTTCTGGAGCACTTCTCGCATGGCTGACAGATTACTTAGGCGAGAGAGAATTCTGCACCAAAGTCAACCGCATCCGATCATCTTGGCACACCTCGGCATCAGGGGTTCCTCAGGGTTCTATCCTAGGGCCGTTGATGTTTTTGATTTTTATCAATGACCTGCCCCCCCAACTAAACTGCTCTGCGCTTCTTTACGCTGACGACGTAAAGATTTGGAGAGCAATAAACTCATCGGAAGACTCAGATAGATTGCAGGCTGACCTGCAAACTCTGGGAAATTGGGCTTTGGCTAACGGAATGCCTTTCAATCTAAAGAAGTGCAAAGTAGTGCAGCTTCATTCCGGCAGGTCACAGAGTGTAAATTACACCCTTGGTGGCCAGAACTTGAGTTGTGTTCCATCAGAGCGTGATCTAGGTCTTATTCTAACAGAAAAGCTAGACACCAGTGGAAATTACTCGAGGGACGTCGCCAAAGCCTACGCAACATTACACTTTATGCACAGGCAGCTGGGAGCTCTCACTCCCGAACTGTTCTTAAGGCTATACAAGGCATATGTGAGGCCACACCTTGAGGTGCATAATATCATTGCACCTCCGCTACTCAAAAGGGATGCTAACATTCTAGAAAGTGTCCAGAGACGAGCGACAAAATGGGTGATCGGCCTCCGCAACAAATCATATGAGGAAAGACTAAAGAAATTAGGTCTTTTCACACTCAGTTACCGTAGGCACAGGGGAGACCTCATCACCGTCTACAAGATCCTAAATGACCAGGCCCACCCAAATAAAAGCATCCTGCCATTAAGCGATTATAGGCTTCCACGAGGTAACCCGCTAAGGATAGCACACCAGAGACCAAAGACTCGAGTGCGATCACATTTCTTTTCGCTTCGTGTTTGCCGTCTCTGGAACGCTTTACCGGCGGCCGTGACTACAGCGCCATCTGTGGAGATTTTTAAGCGGAAGCTAGACAATCATGCAGAAATGCAAGGTTTGTGTCTCAATGGCTTATCCTCATAAAATTTGAAACCAAACTGTCAATGAATAAGCGTACTAACTAAATCCCCACGACCTATTCTGCCTTCTCTCACTCTATCTTTTCCTTAGGTCACCTTTATTATTCCACTTATCTCAACCTATATTATCTACACTACAACCTATTATTATTATTATTACTATTCTGCTTTTATGACTACACCGAATGACCAAGGGGAGTTAGGTCAAACTCCATTCACGGCAGCAATACAGTCCTAACATACTGCATACTACAAACCACATCTCGACCAATCCCCGCACCACTCCTCCTGGAGTCTACCAGAGCTAAAGCAGTCGAGTGTCGGGACTTACTACGCAGAAGCTCACCGAAGATCTGGAACCTCTACCTCACAATCAAGAAGCGAGCTCAAAGAAATCACTGGTTTATACTAGCTCGTCATCAGGATATTGGATATTGGAATATTGCTCACCTTATTTTACTACTTCACATGGGAGATAGGACGCAGGCACCTACGATCAAAGACAGCTAGCTAGCCTTTTTGTATCTTTCACTTTCAATGGCCATGTCCCCCGGCTATAAGGGAGAACTGAGCGAACTGCTTTGCTGAGTAGTACACGCCCTTTATTTGACAGCCAGATATCGATATCTGGCTGTCGAATAGACGTTATCAAGTCTACGCCAGAGATGGCGTAAGTTGGCTTATACCAAACCGGCCTTTTGCATCCATGTTGAGATTTCATCAGCCATCAACCCTCTGACGTTGGCTGATGCAACTCCGCAAATAAGTTTAGTCGTCAACATGCTCTACCACTTCACTCCCTATCTTTAAGCTAAGAGTCAATGTAATCCAGTCCTGTGGCATCGTCTTGCATCATATTTACACCTTAGCTATTCACGCATTTGCATGAAGCATATGAACGCTTACAATGTTTAGAAGTGATAGTTTAATGACGTTGTAAGCGTTCATATATTTGTACAAATACGTGAACGGCTCAGGTGTAAACACTCCTAACTATGCTCTCGAACTAGAGAGGTTTGGCTTCGTCACATGCGTAATTAGTTCTTGTGTTCAGTTTTTCCACTGACAGTAGCCCAAAATCATGCTTTGTCTCTGTGTAGGGTCGGTTCACATAAACTGTAGGGTAGTCTTTCCTATACCGAACATTACCCGGTATTCGTTAGTACGGAATTCTAGTCTGTTTGCTGTGGCCCAATCCTCCAGGTTTATCAGTTTTTACTGGAGCCTAAGTCACTCTTCATTACTTCTTACGACCCTCCACAACGTTACATCATCGTTGTAGAAAAGTCCTGGAGAGCTCTATGAAATCAGCTTGGATGGTGCAGTTATGTTCCGCAAAAATCATGTTGGAAGTAGTTGGAAAATGAAGAGAGATTGTCACTATAACGTGGCATCATGAGATAAAAGATATTTGTTCTGGGTTAGCATTTGTTTGTATATCACGACTCATTAAGCGGGGCCCTGAATCTCTGGCTTGAAATATGAGAGAGTCGAAATCAGTGGTGAATATACGGCTATTTCCCACTCCCTTGTCTTCGTGAACGTGATGCTAAACGAGAAACACTATCTTGAATGCTCCTGATATGTTTGGTTACGTGTCTTCCTGATATCGCCCCCCCTGTTTTCTTTTTCACAATATTGTTCTTGGATAAACTTTGTGTAAGCTCAAGTCTTTGTAGTGCATAATTCTAGGCATTCAAGCAGTGTTATAGTGCATTCCTGTTCCTAATATAGCCGCATTTCCACTTAGCAAAAATGTTGCATATCCCCTCACAGAAGAATATTCTTTAGTAGTTATAACGTTTTTTCGTATCTATGCCTACCAAATGTATTATCTTCTCTTCCAGCCCGTTGAAAATTTGCTGTAAATTCCATCGCTAGAAGTAATCGCTACTAGTCCAGTTGCTGCTCTACATATCGATATTACTGAGAAATAATCAGCCTATCTGGTATCACCACAATGCCTTTTGCATCGTTCAAAAATATTCAAAAGAGATTTGCGAGAATTCACAAAGAACGATCTCAAGTAAATCCTACTCTACTTTCCCTGAAATTTTAGCCTCAACACCGACGACATCTAGGACTCTTACCGAAGAAAAAAGATTTCCAAATTAGAGCTAGGTTTGAATAAAGTGTCTGTTTAAAATTTGTCTTATAGGGATAAAGAGTCGAAAAATGCTAAAATAAAAGAGTTGAGAAGTAAAGCTTTGAATAAAAACACCGATGAATTCTATTTCAACATGTGTAATTCTCGTTTCGATGTAAGTTTTTTTGTTTTTACAGCAGAGTTTATACCCCATTGATATTTAGGCAGAAAAAGGACATATCCCTTTAAATGTGGAGAAAAGTTATTCAGACAATGAAATTAAAACATCTTTTTCAAAGAATATTACACACCTGCAATATGAATTGCAAAAAGAAATGTCTAAGATACGTCAGCTAGAGTCAAAAACTAATCTACTGCAAAGCGAATTAAAAAAATCAAGAAAAACTCCTAAACATATTGTTTTTGCAGAAACCTATGATGAAATGATAGAATTACGTCGTTCGTATGCAGACAGATTACAAAAAATGGATGAAGATGTTGGGATTGATGAATCTTCCAGTGATCCGTGTCATCTTGATGATGTCTATGCTCAACGGTGTAATGCCTATAAGGAATTAGCTGAACGTTTAGAAAGAGCTAAGCAATTAAAGTATCTTCTACGACAACATGAGGCTAAAAATAATCTTATGGTAAGTTAGCTTTTCGCCTAAATTTTTTATTACCAAAATTCACCGTCAAATTTACAGAGTAGTTGTAGACAATTATTGTGTAGAGGCATAACATCCTACCTCATAGTTAACCTACTTCAAAAGCTGTTCGGTTCTATAGTTAGTATTATAATTTTGATTGTTTGCAATACTCATCATATATTGTTAATCCTTCAGTTAAGCACCCGACCGAAAGCTGCTATCTTGACGTTGTGTCGGGCTTGAACACCGCAATGATCTATTCAAGCTATACTGGCTGAGGCTTATGTCTCTTCAGGTCCTACCATGCCGTAAAGGTTGTTTCGATAGCGGTTAAACAAAAAGCAGCTACCCAATCCAACATCATGATAAATACAAAATCACAAAATTTCATGCCGGATCGGCCGTGGCCCGGATTAACAACGACCGCGCTTCCTGCTGCCGTGTCACAGGGCAGGAGTGATAAATATGCTACTGAGGCACACAAAACAACAAAAAACAAACAAAAGCAGGCCGCGTGTGACCGGCCTCAAGCAGTTGTCCCCTGGGCTCTGCGGTCACGCAACCAACTTCCACGGTGTGGGCAGCCGGGAAGTAACAATCGCCCTCACAATCCGAAATGCACGCGAAACCTCTCTATTACTCACTCATCTTTGTTTTCATCTTCATCTCTATCATCTTGCCTTCCTTCCACTGATGCAACTCCTCGACTTGATAGCTCTCCACTTCCTCTCCACTCTGCGTCCACTAAAAACGATGGAAGCCAAAAAACCACCACCGACAGCCTCTTAAAGCCGCGCCACCAATTTCATATAGGAGCTCTTAATGTTAGGACACTTTGCCAAATAGGACAACAAGCATCACTAGCCAAGACCCTGGCATCACGAGCCATTGATGTATGTTGTGTTTCAGAAACACGCATACAAGACCCAAGTGTGGTTATTCACCTAACCCCACCTGGCCAACAGGTTGAATCTGCAAAATTCACCTTGAGGGTGTCAGGAGATGCCACAGCTAGTTCACGAGGATTAGCTGGCGTAGGGATAGCTTTGAGTACTAGGGCAGAAAAGACATTGCTTGACTGGATCCCGGTAGATAGCCGAATGTGTGCTGTCCGTCTGAACGGATCAGTAAGAAGGAGAAAGGACTGCACTACTCGCCGATGCCTTTTCGTAATCTCCGCCTACGCCCCCACTGACTGCAGTTCAGATGAAACGAAGGATGAGTTCTACCAAAAGCTGTCTAGTTTGGTGAGAAAGGCTAAACGCTCAGACATAGTCGTTCTAGCTGGTGACTTTAACGCTCAAGTAGGGAAATTGTGTCAATCTGAGAAGGATGTCGGTGGCACCTATGGAGTTCCGTGCCAGCGAACCGACAACGGTGACCGTCTCCTACAGTTCTGTTCTGATAATCATTTGTTTCTTGTAAGCACTAACTTCAAACACAAGGAGAGACACTGTTTGACTTGGAGACCCCCTTCATCAAACCAACGCTGGACACAAATAGACCACATAGCAATAAGCTATCGTTGGCGTGGGTCGGTAGGAGATTGTCGCTCCTTCTGGAACACGTGTGTAGATACCGACCATGCACTGGTCCGCGCTCGGGTGTGCTTACGACTGAACGGACGTAGGAAACAGCTGGCGGTAAAACCATCACGTCCCCAGCTCGATCAGGAAACTAAATCCGTATTTGAGGAAGAACTAGCTAAACACATATCTGTGTTCGACAGCTGTGCTCACCCTGAAGAAGCTTGGAAAAATATCCAGGCAGCCATAGATACAGCTGTAAAAGCTGTGAATAAGGTAAACCCAAAGGTGAGTAAAAACCACTGGATCTCCACCGCCTCATCCGAACTGATAGATGCTAGAAGACTTATTCCGGCGAGCTCCGAATTCAATGAGGAGCGAAAGCTGCACAAGAGGAAACTTACGAAAAGTCTCCGCAAGGACCGTGAACAGTGGTGGGCGACAAAAGCCAAAGAGATGGAGAAAGCTTCGAGGATAGGCAACACCAGGCAACTCTTTAGACTCATCAGGGAAACGGGTGGGAGAAGACAAATCATTAGTGAGACAATCTCGGAAAAAAATGGCACTATAATTAGCTCCCAGGATAGACGACTGGATCGTTGGAAAGAGCATTATGAGGAGCAGTTTAATTGGCCCACAGCCACGCTCAACCTTCCGAGCATCCAACACCTCCCTGAATGGGATATAGACACAGGTCCTCCATCCCTAACTGAGGTTACTAAAGCTGTCACCAATCTGAAACTAGGCAAAGCAGCGGGACCTGATGGAATGACTCCAGAGGTATTTAAGTACGGTGGAGACAGCTTACTGTCTGCGTTAACTGAGGTACTAGGCAGCGTCTGGGAATCAGAAGAAGTCCCATCGGGTTGGTGTAAGTCACTGATTATCCCCATATACAAGAAGGGAGACAAGTCTTCCTGTGATAATCACAGAGGGATTAGCTTGACTAATATAGTATCTAAAGTCTTAGGCTCAATAATCATGCGTAGACTGAGTGGTGCTCGGGAAGCACAAACACGAGAGAGCCAGGCAGGCTTTAGACCAGGAAGAGGGTGTATTGATCATATCTTCACCCTCCGACAGATTCTAGAACATAGGCATTCCTACCGGCGTCCAACAGTCATTATATTTCTTGACCTAAAGGCAGCATTCGACTCTGTCGATCGAGAAGTTCTCTGGAGATGCTTGGCTGTAAAGGGAATTCCGAGAAAGTATATTGCACTGATTAAGGCACTCTACTCGTACTCATACAGCCAGGTGAGGGCTTACGGCGAGCTGTCATCTGAACTGGTGACGACCAGTGGTGTCCGTCAAGGATGCCCATTATCCCTTTTTCTATTCAACTTCATCATAGATGTGTTAATGGACTTAACCCTAAGTGACTTCAGCGACTCAGGGATTGACTTGCTACCAGGGAATAATCTCGTTGACTTGGAATATGCAGACGATATAGTCCTTCTAGGCGAAGACGCTGACAAAATGCAGAGTCTTCTAAACACCTTGAGTTGCAATCTACGAATGTTTGGCATGCGATTCGCTCCCGCCAAATGCAAGATGATGTTACAGGACTGGACTACATCGACGCCTAGTTTAAAAATAGGAAGTGAAGTGGTAGAGCACGTTGACCGCTTCACTTATTTGGGAAGTACCATCAGCCCCAACGGGTTGATCTCTGACGAAATCTCAACACGAATATAGGGGGCTCGTTTCGCATTTGTCAGTTTACGCCGACTCTGGCGTAGACGAGATGTTCGACTATCGACCAAGGGACGTGTGTACTGCTCATCAGTCCGCTCTGTCCTTCTCTATGGCTCTGAAACATGGCCAATACGAGTTGAAGACATGAAAAGGTTGACTGCTTTCGATGATAGATGTCTGCGATCCCTTTCTCACGTTAGGTGGTTTAATAAGGTAGGGAAAATCAATCGACAAGGCTATAAAGTTACATAGATTGAGATGGTTAGGACATGTGTTACGTATGCCAAGTCATCGCCTCCCTCGACGAGCAATGTTAGCGGATATAGGGTCAAACTGGAAAAAAGCTAGCGGCGGTCAAACAGAAACTTGGCACCAGTCAATGAAATACACAACAGTTGGTCTAAGCCACGTAGGAAGTTGTAGACTTCCTGACTGGTTGGGGTCCTCGGGACGGTAAAAATCTATGGTTGGAAACAATCGGTGACATGGCTCAAAATCGTTCTCAGTGGCGCAGATGCATCCACTCCTTTTGACTTATGATCTCCACCAATGAAACTGTTTTGTTCTTCGTTATTACTCCTTTGTCTCACACCTCTGCTCACTGTCTCTATTATGCTTTTCTTGTACTTTCTTCTCTTGCTTCGCGTGCTACACGGAGTGTGGCGACTTGAACTGACGCATATTTGTGCAAAGTTCTATGTCGAAAACAGACAGACAGTCACTTAAGCAACTTCGAACATAAAATGTAGGTTGATCACATCAAATGTATGTAGGTCACTGTATTACTAATAGTGAACCCATCGTCTGTAAAATTTTACTGCAGCTGAAAGGTTATGTCTCTCTGGATTCAACATAGAACTTGGCACCAAAGTGCAGCAGTTCGAGTTGCCACGTTCCCAAATAGCACACAAAGGTAGACAAGAAGATGAGTGAAGAGAATCAATAGAGTTTGACAGGTGTAAGAGCGAAACAGAATGGGTAATGGTAGAAAGAAATATGAAAGATTACAGAGACTGAATACATCTGCGCCATTGACAACGATTTTTAGCCATGTCACCTATTGTTCCAGCCATTGATTCCTAGATTCCCGAGGGCCCCAACCCGGAAGTTTGCATCTCCCTAACTAACTCAGTTTAACTGTCAAGGATTTCTTAGATTGATACCATGTTTTTGTTTGGCCACCACTTACTCTTTTCCAACCTACACCTATATCAGCTAGTAATCCCCGTCGGCGGGGGGAGGCGATGGTTAGGCATGCGCACCACGTGACCGACCTAGCCATCTCAATCTATGTAACTTTATAGCCTTCTCGATTGATTTTCCCTCTTTGCCTAAAACTCTACGCCCAACGTCAACATTACCTACCTCATTAAACCACCTAACGTGAGAAAGGGATCGCAGACATCTATCATCGAAAGCAGTCAACCTTTTCATGTCTTCAACTCGTATTGGCCATGTTTCAGAGCCATAGAGAAGGACAGAGCGGACTGATGAGCAGTACACACGTCCCTTGGTTGATAGCCGGATATCACGCCTACGCCATAGATGGTGTAAGTCAGCGAAAGCAGCTCGAGCTTTTTGGATCCGTGCTGAGATTTCGTCGTCAATCAGTCCGTTGGTGCTGATACAACTTCCCAAATAGGTGAAGTGGTTAACATGTCCTATCACTTCACTCCCTATCACTAAGTTAGGAGTTGACGTAGTCCAGTCCTGTAGCAGCATCTTACATTTTACAGGGGCGAAAAAAAGGTTATGTGCCGTACTCATCACTCTGTACGCATTCAGCACAGCAACTTAGATTGATATACTTTTATCCAGTGAGTGTGTCCATCCCCCAGTAACTTGTATGCTGAGTGATCACTAGAGTGTAACCTATGTCATGTATTATTCAATCCTTAGTGTTGGTATTGACTGTGGTTACAGAGAGGAGGTCATTCGTGAGTTAGAACAGTTCAATGTTAGCATCTTTTTATTTCATCCTTTGGGTGGTAACGTGGATTCAAGTAAGTCTCACAACAAGGAATGTCAGTTTCTTCATAGTTACGGATATATGCCTCCCTGATGGGTATCAACAAGCGTAAAACCTAGGCGCAGGACTTTCTACTGTCTCCTGCCATCAAACAACAGCATATAACATGATCATGGTAAATTATTGAATGTATCAGCACATCGGCGTTTTGATTATAGAGGTATGAAATTTTATTATCTTGATTTCTTAAGAAAGTACTTTTTTGTCATCTGCTTACATGAACAATAAGGTTTTTATTCAAATGAATTTTATTTTAATAGGCTAATTCATCATCTAAAAGGGGATATAAAACAGTTTTCAAAGGAAGTAAAACAGCTCCACCTATCTACGAATTTGAACGTGTGCGAAATCGATAAGTTCTAATGTCCCTACCAAAAAAGAAGAACACATACACACAGTTAATTTGTACGGCTTTTACAGCTAGTTCGTATAATGTATATACTAAAATATATTTCTCTTCAACATTTCGTCTTGTTTACTTTTGTGGAGCAGTCAAGAGGTGGGACAGAGATCTTTTTTAAGGATTCGTATGTATTTGCATACATAAGTATAAGTTATCTGTAATTTATAGTGAACGGATTCCTCTCTGATTACTTAAACTCTGCCTGCATAAACAACGTGGTACGGTCAAAGGAGTGGACTTGAGGGGGAGGGAGTAGACTTCGGTCTGCTGCTCAGAATGCTGCTATACGACCACTTGTTTTTAGTCTCTGCCAGGCAGGTCTTGTTCCACTGCCTTCACGCGGCTGGGGTGCCAACTTTTACTGTTTACAACCCGACTGGTGGACACATAGGTCTACCTAGTGGGAATGGGGCGACTGGAAAATCCTGACCCCAAGGATATGGTGTACATGAGGGCTCAAGAATCCGAACAGATCGAAAATCATGTATGAACCTTTGGTAGCTATGGGGGTACTGCTGTACTCTCTTCCGACTTCACGTCTCAAAGTCTTGGGATAGCAACTATCTGCTTCAGTATGGGCGTCCGGATAGTATCGCAGCCGCGGCACAACTCTAAGACTTTGTGCTGAGCATATTTTGGTGCGCCAATATGTACCAAGTTAGTGTTTCAATAAACAAATAAACTCAAACTCTGCTTTCACTCACATTACCTCTCCCTTTCTCAAGCCATGGAGAGAGTTACTATCAACAATTACCACCATTGTAAGACTGGTTTTTAGAGTTAATGATGTATGGCATAAATAGAATGTAGATAATAGGTTAACTTGTACAGTACTAAAGATGCTATTCATTGGTGTCATTTAAATATTTCTTCATCGAGTCTAGGCTATTGAGCATGTTAGATTAACACTCATAATTTTTTTGCATTTCCCAGTTCATTTAGTCACGTTCATTTTTCTGAGCACAGTAACCACATTTACAAACGCAGTGAATCTTTCCTCATACTATGTGGAATTAGAAAAATAGTACCTTGCTGTTAATATTAGTTCTTCAAAGTCGTCTTCTATAGTCCAGAACATTCATAAAAGAGGAAAAAATCCACGGAAAGTCATGAACGATTTGTTTCATTTGCTACTCCCTTCTCCCCACCTTATTAACCGGCCCAGAATCACAAAATAGGGTGTACAAGATCGCTAGGGGTTTGGTCTAATAACATGGAAAGTGGCATTCCTACTCCAGTGTAGCCTAATGTAAGTTTATATTCTCTCTAGGCTATATAAAGTCACAGATATTAAACAAACTGAGTAATCACAACTTGATGGCTACCTGATTTCTGTCAGTCTTCATGTCATCTCAGTGATATAACACTCACCAACCACGCGAGAGGTCAGGGTTGGATTTATGACTGATACATTCCGGATAGTAAGCCTGGAAAACCAGGAATGTTGAATGTGAGGCAACAAAACAACCTAATCTGAGAAACAATTTTGCTACTTAGGTTTCAAAGCCCGAACGAACAGAAATTTGTTCACTAGCGTTGATACACTACCAAAAAGCCCTGGTTGGTTAAAAATTCGGCTTTATAAAAGTAAATGATGGATAAAAACAATTTGATTTACAAAATATCTTGTGCTGACTGTCCCACTAAATATGTGGGGCAAACGTCCAGATCATTCAAAATAAGAGTGAATGAACACAAACGCCTAACCAAAGGTCAAGCAACAGGAACACAAGCTTTCAAGAACCTTGAAAAAAATTCATCGATAGCTGCACATGCATGGGACAAAAACCACAATATCGATTGGAACAATGTGTGTATTCTAAAAACAAACATGAACAAATGGAAAGAAAGACTTATAACAGAATAGATATTCATTAAAGTCACACCGGATACATGTAACAAGGGTGACTCAGTACAACTATCAACAACTTGGAATATAATTCTGAATACAAAAACATGAATGAGCCAAAAAAATAACGAACTATATATTTGAGTACAAATCATAAATGTGTGATTAAAACAATTCCAACAGTGGTGTGAACACGGGCAGTAATTTTGCTCGAAATATTACCAATAACAAAACTTATCATTGTGTGTAAACTATTGAAATATAATTATACTCTATTTGATCTAATCCACAATGCTCAAACTTTTTACTCATATAAATGAGGAAGTTTTAAGTGTGCGTGTAATAGTTAGTTCAAGCGTGCGCTGTTACTGACTGTGGTGCCCTAGTGTTTGAATAAGGTGCTATTTTGTGAAGGTTTTCAAATGAAAGGTGAATGTTATAGCCAAATGTAGGTGAATAGGTAATTGTGTGCGTCGGTGGCACAGTGGTTAGGACTCTCGCCGACCATGCACATGGTCCAGGGTTTGAGCCCACGCCGACGCACACCTGATATCTATGGTCGGCCTGCGAAATTTGAGCTACCGATATCCACGCTGAAAATTCCATACTTGTACCAAAAATACAGTGTGGAATCAAGCTGTAATCAAAAATAAAATAAAGATGACCCTCAATGGTCTAGGATATAAGCTTTCAAACATGTAACCGATTAGCGTAGGATCGGTTCGATTCCACCTTCCTTGCTTGTGTATGCGAGCTTTTAATGCTCCCTTGTCACCACCTCGATACTCCCCACGTTATTATTTTGATGATAATCACATTTAGTGCAGAGAAAGTCCTTAGTGAGCCATTTAGAAGGCAAAATGATTGGGTGAAGACGTGCTTTTTTTCAGTTATCTCTGGCATTACACTAATTTATGTAACATTTTCAATACAATTGAAAAAATTCCGCCATTTCAGTGGCAGTAGGTTTTTGTTAACGATAAGTAGTCAGTATCACCATGTCACGGGGAGGGTGGGTGGTAATTAACCAAGAAGAATATTACAAAACAATTAGACGGTAGAAATGGTTACAACAAGTGGATTGTACAATGCATAATTTTTGGAAAAATGAAGAGTAATTCAGGAATAAATGAATGTCCAATTTGATTAAGTAATAGACAATTAAGGATGAGGGAGTCAGAATGCTAAAATAATTTGGACAGTGATAATTTTTGAAAATCTTGGGGGTAAGGTTGAAGCAGTCAGGTTCTTGCATTCATCTAACGATGGCCAAGGTAAAGGAAGTGGCTGCACGAATTTCTTGTGAACACGTAGGTTCGCCTACTTCGAGTGGATTCCTATGGCTTCAGCTGTATGTAGAAGATGAACTCATAAAGCAAAATTATAAGTGGTTGGAATGCGAGAAATCTCTTTAAGTACTGTATTAACATCAACGTCATCCTGATGGTCTACAAGGTGTGGTAAACAAAGCTACGAATAGATCTTGCTTGTCCCTTGTCTGATTCTCCTATCTCATGCATACCTAGTTGTCTCACTAGTTGGAGGTATATGTCGCCGAATGGACCAGTTATTTCCGATGTCACCTACTAAGTCATTTTATCGTTTGCTAGTGTCAGCAAACAAGTCCCTTCTTACCTTGTCTCATCTTGTGGTTGTGCATGACCACTGTTTGCATGGCATACACACCTTGTGAGTAACGGATACCGCCTACGTTGATACCTAGAATGTTCTCATGTGGTACTGTACAACACTAATTGATGAGATCATTGTGTGGAGATAAGTCATACAGCCATACAAGATCTACTCATATGTACCACCCATCGTGTTGGTTATAATCGTCCAGGCATAGAATTTTAGTCAGTCATGTGATCGAATAATGTTACTCAGTCAATCATACTTTGGATGGTATTCGGTATTTCCTGGTGGAGGACGCAAATCTAATCTCCGAAATTTTCCACTGGAACTCTGTGAAACACAGCCTCGATTATGCAGTCCATCGACATCGATTTGTGACACTGTTAACACACATCCCACTAATGACCTTCCTTTTCTGAAAAATGAAACATCGAAAGTCGTATTATCATGGAAAATAGATAATAGATTCAAATATTGTCCAAAAATGTCAAATTTCACGAAGCTTGTTGCCAGCTGTATGATGAATCTCCCAAAGTTCACAAGGCCAATGGAATACAATGAGTGGCTCAAACAACAGGTAGGTGGAATCCAACCGATTCGATGCTAATCGGATACAGGTCTAAAGCTTGCATCCTGGACCATTGAGGGTCATCTTTACAATTGTCTATTCACCCAAATCCATCTACGACAATCATGTGTGCAGTCATTGTTTCCATTTGAGCATCTTCATAAAATAACACCTCATTCAAACACTAAGACACCATAGCCAGTAGCAGCGCACATTCACACTAACCAATACGCACACTATGAAGTCAGCATGAAACAAATCTACTTCATCCAGTGATCAGTAGACTATCGAATATCGGGGAGAGCGGTGATGGTGTTCCATTCAGTCATGCTAGGATATAAACAACTAGGTCTATCGGATACCAATGATAATTCTTCTTCAAGTATTGGTTTTGTGGGGATTTTGTTTGATTGTATGGAGGATTTCACCATGAGCTGACATCAGTTAGATAACCACTGGACAGCTGTTTCGTCCTAGTTTGGGACTCTGGATCGGGTCTCAGTGGCTCAATGGTCTACAAGCTCGCCTTGTAACCAGAAGGTCCTCGGTTCGAACCCCTTGGTGTGGGTGCGTACTGATGAAGGGTCCCAAACTAGGACGAAACAGCTGTCCAGTACTCCCATGTTTTCCAGTGGTTCTCTAACTGATGTCAACTCATGGTGAAATCCTCCATTCGATAATAATTCTGTTACTATTGCAGGTGGACAGTATATTAGATATCTGGACGGAGCGACAAATTGTCATGTTAACAATCAATAATTGCCACATGTGGCATTCAATCAGCTAAAAACTAACCGGTTATCTAAACTGTACTGTGTGCGCGTAAACACAAGAAGAAGTCGTTGATATCAAACTGAAAGTGGATACAAATGGGTGACTGCACTATAGATTATCCAAGAGAGGTGACCAATCCTTTTGCGAAACCCTTAAATCCAAAAGTTTTACTACTTCCTAAAAATTCCCCCTGTATATTTCTGTTTATTCCACGCGGGAAGTAAAATGATCCTCC